TCTCTCTCTCTCTCTCTCTCTCTCTCTCTCTCTCTCTCTCTCTCTCTCTCTGTGTCTACACACACACAATCACTCACCCATCGCCCGCCACTCAACGATCACAAACCTCTCTTTCCCTCGCACAACTGCCGCCCGCCGCCCGCAGATAGCGTTCGCCTTCTGTTTGCCTGCCAACCTCGTGTCTGAACCCAAAAAAATGACGGAAAAACACACTCGCACAACAAAAAAAAAAGTCTACCGGGCGACACCCTTCGAACCGCCGAACAACAGCCAAAAAAAAAACGCGCTCCGAAACGCTTCCACGCACGGCGACACCCTTCAAACCGGTGCACAGCAGCGCAAAAAAAAACCCTCCGATTTGATGAAGTGCCTGTTGGGCCCGGGCCTTGCCCCTCAACTCTTTCCCAACACAGGCAGACCGGGTTCGGGACAACGTCACGCGAGACCCGCTGTTCCCTTTCTAAAGAGTATAGATAATAACATAAACCATGATTTATAAGCCTGGTCGGAAGGAGGAAGTAACTTGTAAACCAGAAAAAAACGGAGAGAACGAGCAAGTACATTCATTTTCTAACCTTCAGAACTGAAAAATCTGACAGGAAACAATACAATCTAGAACTACAGTAAGACTTTTTGCTGAAGACCAGAAGTAGCGTAAATGACCGGCCGATGTTTCATTTCACTGTAATCATTGCTGTACTACATGGCATCGATGCATGGACTTGCTGCACATCGCGTCGTGCACGATGCAGAGAGGTGTTCTATACTGATTGACGCTTTGTTGTCATCATAATAGGTGTGGCATTGCACGATTTTGAGCCGTGGCTGCATGGCCTGGTTTTGCGTTGCTAGACTGAGTTGCAAAAATTGCAAAGATCACTGGCATCAATGAGTAATGCCGTGCCCCCCATGGAATGACACATATCATCTCGATGTGGAGCAACAGTCCGCACCTGGAAAAAAAAAAGAAGAAAAGACTTCCAAAAAGTACACCTAAGGGCGGGAAGCAGCGAGGTATGCACTTTTGGTCCGGATTGAATCCAGACTTTGGAACGTCTACTGGTAGTCTGGTTTTGGGTCAAAAGTAACTATGGTTTAAACTGACCTTGATTGCTGTAAAGAGCTGTGCAACCCCAGACTGCGACCAATCCCTCCCTACAATCGGCAAAAACTGGCCCAGGACATCTGACCTGTATTCACACACAGCATTTCACAACTGTGTCAATGCTCCACCTTATAGTCGATTCCAGGATGACAGACAAAGATACCAGCAGCAAAAGAAGCAACAAACAATGGTCATCAGAGTCATTTTGCATGCCAAAATGGAACACTGCAGTGAACAGCAAACTAGGAGTCTGAAGACTCTGAACTCCCTAACCCAAGCCAGGCAAGACTGTACAAGTAAGGACTCTAGCAAACCCGATATCAGAGAATGCCAATACCGGAACAAGCAGATACTAGGCAAATTGGATAGCCAGGTAAAAAGACAATAGGCACCCTGTCGGCAAAAGAGGTCCGTTGCAGCTCCTCGTAATATAAGAAGCCATAGCCAGAAGCCGGTGTTCATCACCATTAGAAGAAGAAGAAGAAGAAGAAGAAGAAGAAGAAGAAGAAGAAGAAGAAGAAGAAGAAGAAGAAGAAGAAATAAGAAGAAGAAGAAGAAAGAAGGGGGAAGTAGGGGTGTCAGTGGAGGTAATTCATATTTCATAGACCATATGCTGCCAGTGAAGAAGAAGAAGAAGAAGAAGAAGAAGAAGAAGAAGAAGAAGAAGAAGAAGAAGAAGAAGAAGATGGAAGGAAGAAGAAGAAGATGGAAAGAAGAAGAAGAAGATGGAAAGAAGAAGAAGAAGAAGAAGAAGGAAAGAAGAAGAGGAAGAAGAAGAGGAAGAAGAAGAAGAAGAAGAAGAAGAAGAAAGGAGGGGGGAGTAGTTGTGTCAGTGGCGGTACTTGGACAGTGGATATTTCAGAAACCACATATGCTGCCGGTGGAGGAGGGGAAACCATACAGTGTTGATAGGCACAAAGGGGAGATACATCAAACACTGGAAATCAGCAAAGCAGTTGACAGCGTGGAGATCATCAACAAGAACAGAGGGTAACTAGTGGCGCTTAGACAAAGGGAAAAGTAGATTGAACAGAGGTATCGGTAAGTCCAGGGACAGATCTGAGGCTGGCAATCAAATTTCTGATGCCCGCGTTCTAATTCATTGGCAATGACTCCCAAGACAAACACTGCATTCACCACACACTCGCAACGCAACACGTGGCAGACAGCAGGACGTCAACAGCAACATCACAGATGACCACCCAATGACACAAACACCAACAGTCCACGTCAGATAGCTTGCCGAAACCCTGGGGCTAGAAAAACAAGGCAACTGGCCGGGGAAAAGGGAGATCTCAAAGTGGCAAAAGTGCACATGCATGCCATAAGAATGAATCATAGTTATTGTTTTGAAGTTTGAACTCTGAAATGCTTAACAATAGAATTTAGCAAACGACGTCAAATATTGCTATGGATTGCTTTTTTTGCATCTTTTGCAGTGAAAGTACCTATGGTACCAGTTCATATTTGGTTACCTGAAGCTCATGTAGAAGCACCCACCGCTGGATCTGTTATCTTAGCGGGAATTCTCTTAAAATTGGGAACTTATGATATCGCATGGCTAAGATGAATTGTAGTACGTGTTTTGAAATGCTTAATATCTGATGCAGGAGGAAGAGCAGGAATTGTAGTATAATGTGTTTGAAATGCTTAATATCCGATGCAGGAGGAATAGCAGGAGACAACCTTGGCCAGGAGCAAGCAAAAGCAAAACAATAATGACAACAAGGACAGGTAGAGAAGCACATTCGATGGCAAGGGAGCAACAAGGAATTACTTTGTGATTGTCCCATCCACATCAGATACGACGATCCGATCATCCCATCTCCAAAGATATACAGTTGCATCAACCTGCAGACAACAGAAGCATACGCCATGGAATCGTGACTTTCAGTCATCCGAATCGGGAAAGACTAACAGTGACACTTCCATCCCTCAAAGGGGAAAAGGATCAACACCAAAGGAAAGGTAAGTGAAACCAGATTCTTTCAAAAAAGTGCTTCTGAGAACACGCCTTCAGGTTACCGCCCCCTTTCTGTTAGGCGTCCCTCCTGACGGTACGGTCTTTGGTTGTCACGAAAAGCCCTGGCCCAAATCACAGCCGCAATCAGATCTCGTTGCACTTCCTGCGTCTTGACTCAATGGAAGAGTTCGGCCTTCTCATATAGGAATTGTGTGCTAATGGCACTAAAAAGATTAATTGCTAAGTGCGCCAACAGCAGTTGAACTCTGTTTGTGTGCATGCATGACAAGTCTAACTACCAGGCAGGAAAAGAACCAGTGTGTAAGCCAAACTCCCGGGCTCCACCTTATGCTTCCGTTGCCTTGACTTGCCCCCCACCACCACTGGCTCCCGTCCGGCAGTCCACAAGATGTACCATCCTCTCAGACAATTTCTGCATTTAGACTGTGTTCCAATGCCCTAACGGTCAGCGAATATATTATACTGCATGGCTCATCCCTACACCGACCCGGAGAGTGTTTCCACTGCGATCATGAAATTGGCTCCAGTCCTCTGGAATCAAGGTGCCAGATATTAGGCCTGCAAAATACAGCGGCGTTTCAATGCACTCATCCAAATGAGTGACAACCACAGATGAGTTCCACACACCGCATCTGCCGACATCCAAATAATTCTTCGATTGTTCGGAAAACACGAACGCCTTTGCACTTCCTGCCTCATGCAGGGTCTTTTCAACCACCGCTTGCCTGCAAATTCATCGCTGGATTATTTGCTTTCCCCGTCTTTTACGCCAGTAGAAAGATTGGCATAGAGATCCAACAGTGACGGCTGGGTGCAAGTCAATTTGGCTCAGGGTTGTCTTTTGAGAGAGAAGCGTCCACCGCTGTTGGCCTCCCCTGTCCTTTTAGCACGGGTCCATTCCGAGACAAGACTACCGTTATTGGCCCTTCCTGCTGCCCCCGATTTGGCCCAACAAAGGGTTCGGGCTAGATCTGGGAAGTGTTCGGGGCTACTGATCATTTTTAAATATTTTTCGGGAATAAAATTCAATAAATAAATGGAGCAGTTGGTGCTGCAGAGGCACAGAGAAGCCCTAGTGGAGACTGGGAATTCAACCTGCCATTTCCTTGGATGCTCACATACTGTCAACCAAGAGCACACTCACTAAACGACTTGTGCCCATTGCAGCTTCACTTGCAACAAAGACTGCAGGGAAAGTTGGGAAGTTGGAAACCTATTATTAGCTAAGTCTTACTATACAGAGGCTGAGGGAGACGGAGGACTGACAGATGCGAAGAGGTCTATCGGAAGTCCTGGCACTGAGTGGAACCACACAGCAATTTCTTTCTTGCTGGTAGGACATGAAGAAGTCTGAAGGCCACAAGTGCCATGTGGCACCAACACCGCCCCTGGCACTGAATGGCATCACATGACACGAAACTTCGCCACTCCATAAAGTAATTTCTTTTCCGCCCGCAGGACATGAAAAAGGCTGACGGCCACAAGTGCCACTTGGCACAAACATGGTATACCGCAGGGCATCGAACTTACACCACTCCATAAAGCAATTTCTTTTTCGCTCGTAGGCCCATGAAAAAGACTGAGGGCCACAAGTTCCATGTGTCACCATGAAAGTGGTGGCACTTGAACCTCTTTTCAAGGCCCTGCTGGGCCATTAGGCCAATTGGGCCTCGACACGTCAAGTCCCACCAGAATTTTCACATTTCCACAGAGCTGAAGTGGCGCCATGAAAACGTGATGCCCTGCCAGGAAAAAATGCAGCGCATTCAGGGTTTTTTTTTTTTTTTTTCCTTTGTGCCTTTAAGAAGGCCCTACTGGCCCAATAGATTCACAGAGCCTCTAAGAGTGGAAACGCACCCCAATTTTTTTTGCAGCACCTCAACTTGGGGTTCTGGCAGCCACCATTGCCCTGCGAGCAGACTTTCATGGGATCGCACCGAAGGACTAATATCGCAAAGATGACAGACGACAGACTTTCCGTGATGAGCACCAGAGGACTAAGACCACTGCCAATATCACAACCGCCCCACCACATAAGACAGGCACCTTAGCCACAAACCGCCATCAAGATTGGTGGGCATAGTATTGATGTGATCACAGGGCAAGAAATAAACCCACTGACTTTTCCATAACTGACACCAGGGAACCCAGTGTCTGAAGGCATACTCACACTAGGACATTTTCTACAAAGCTCTGGCCGTGATTGCGGTCAGATTCATGCAGGTCTGGCCATAATTGCAGCCAGATGCATTTGGGACAGTGCTACCGTGAATTCACAACGAGGAGACACCCTCCAGATTGCACTGTTCATATCGCAAAAACATATTTGGCTGTACGGCAGTCTTTTTGGAGTGCTAGTGTGTGGCCCTCAGCCTTTTTCATGTCCTACCAGCAAGAAAGAAATTGCTGTACGGAGTCGTCAAGTCTCGTGCTGTGTGATGCCACTCAGTGCAGTGTTGGGACTTTCGCTCTCTTTGCCTCTGTCAGTCCATCTTCCTCAGCCTCTGTATAGGAAGACTTAGCTAATAATAGATTTCTGTTGCCTCTGTCAGTCCATCTCCCTCAGCCTCTGTATAGGAAGACTTAGCTAATAATAGGTTTCTGTGCAGTCTTGGTTGCAAAGGCTGAGAGGCACCAGTTCCACGGCACCATCCAGATTAGCGGGCGAGCCATATTTGGCATCCAAACACCTGTAGTAGGTGGGTTGGCTGTTGTCATGTTAGCCTTGTAAATAAAACAGCATTGCACTCCCAATACAGAGTCATAAACGAAACAATATATTCCTAAAACATTTCCTCAGAGTACCATCGCATGTAAGTCTGGGCAAGACATTTCACAATGGACAACAGAAAAGCAAAGAAGAAAAGGATTGGTCTGTAAGGAGGTCTGCAACAGGGGGACGAAAACAGGATGCCATTTCGTACTCCAGCTAGTAGTCTGTGTTCGAGCTAAACCGTGCAACCGCACAGTTGGGCAAGAAACATTCGAGTGACTTCCTTCCGTAAGGAATTTCAGTTGTATCGATCTGGGCAAGAGAAATTTTAACCATCCATATACTCGCCCAGCTATTTATGCCGACCCAAAAATCGCCCTGCACGCCAAACAACGAACCGGTGTGGCCCATCGATGAAATTCATCAATGGCCGCGACGGCCCCGAAAGTTGCAGCACGTATACCACAACGGCCCACGGCTCATATACGGACCAAGTACTAGTGGTTAAGACATGGCAATTGGGACATCCTGAGGGCTAAGCTCTACCACACCCAAATTTCTTTTATTTTTCCCTCCACTACGATCCATGGTATAGCAACCCACCCAGTTTTCACCGATGGACTTTCCGTGAAGAATGGGCTCCCACTCCGGCGGGGGGGGGGGGGGCGTTCACGATGATGCACGAAGCGCTCATGTTACATGTCCAGACTCGGCACCCATCCTCAACAGGGTACCCCAGCGGGTGCCAGATTTCTCGACTCCAGAGGTTTCAAGGAGGTGTCATTTAAACCACCAGTACTCCGCCCATACATCGGCCGTGGAAAAAAATTCGAGTAGCAGCGTTTCTAGTCGGATGAATTTGGGCGCTCCCATAGTGGCCCATCATCATTGTCACGACTGGTAATGCGCCGTGACTTTCAGAGGTACTGGTGGTTTAACCTGTATAAACCCTCTTAGGGAGGCTGGTATAAACCCTCTTGCAGAAGCTGATATAAACCCTCTTGGGGAGGCTGGTATAAACCCTCCTGTAGAGGCTGGTATAAACCCTCTTGGGGAGGCTGGTATAAACCCTCTTGGGAAGGCTCATATAAACCCTCTTGGCAAGACTGGTATAAACCCTCTTGGGAAGGCTGGTATAAACCCTCTTGGGAAGGCTGGTCTAAACCCTCTTGTGGAGGTTGGGGTTTAAACCCTCACTTGGGGAGGCTGGTATGAAACCTCTCCAATTTCGATACTTCTCTTTGCGTGGGGTGTGGAGCTTTCCCACCTCACGTGAGAGATGATCTGGAGAAATCCTGACTCTCAAAACTTATCTTAACAACAGGACGAAACACAGCAGCTTCCGCCTCCACATGCTGCAACGGAGGTTCAAAGAGGGCAACAGAAAAGTGTACAGGGTTTTACGTGTCTAGTTCTTGCCTCTGGAAAAGAAAGCAGCTTCCGCCTCCACATGCTGCAACGGAGGTTCAGAGAGGGCAACAGAAAAGTGTACAGGGTTTTACGTGTATAATTCTTGCCTCTGGAGAAGAAAGCAGTAAAGATAAAGAGAGTTTAGTAGAGCTCTCTACTTCTGTTTCAGTCAAACGCCCTGCGATCCACAGCCATCTAACTGAACTTCTTTTCAGTTAAGTGTCTCATACGATTCACAGCCTGACCAAATGCAAGTGGATACTTGGGATTTAAACTACTGATTTCTTC